CTAAAAAAAGTACACAACAATGACTGTCAAAATTGAACAAAACATAAACAACTCAATAGCAACAAAAAATGCTTGATTGAGCTTATACATTCCTCTTTTTTGAACCTAAAATGTTGGAATTCATCAGTATTAACGAAAAATCTTCCTTATGTTTGAAATTCAATAGTATCTCACTTAAGTAAAAGAGCAGTATATGAAGTATATAAGAGGGATATTTATCAAGCTTGCACCAATAACTATAAAAGAGAATTTCTGTGCTGATTCTATACCATCATCAACTTGGATAGATTCCATAAATAGGTAGAACGTCATAAACAAGTATTGTTAGTGGTCACTTAAACTGTCTAATAAATCATCATTCGCTCTAGTATAAAAATTCCTATAGCAAGGCCATTATGATTTGAAGGGTATAGAAAATTTAACTATGACCAGGCATGGAACTTCAGAAAAAGTCAATAAAATTTTACCAAAAAATCTCTTAAATCACACGATCACGAATCTAATTAAATAGGCAAAGGAAAAAAAAACATATAATGCTGCTAATGTCCAATGGCCAGAGCTAGCAAAATACAAAGAAAATATCCATTATCAAGATTTTTGAACAATCGGTAATGTCACGAAACTCACGACTATTTGGGATTGGCTACATGAATTTTTTGTTATCATTGAGTTCATAGACAACAATACGTTTAGTTAAATTAAGATCAACTAAATCATTATTTGTTGTTTCTAGTAGGTCTTCTTAGGTCTCTCTTCCTTTCCTCATTTTAGAATTGTAAGAAAAGAAAAATTTTCCAAGTCACCTCTAAAATGAAAATATTTCTTACCATCTTATTAACCTTCTTACAAGAACCAATAGCTATCATGGTCCCATCATCTCGGATAACACAACAATCATGATATCAATGCATAGCTTAGAATCACATTAAAGATTTCAATGCAAGGAAGAATGCTTAGTTCATGGTCTCTCTAGTAAATACATTCAGGCAACTTCTATAATCATGCCCAAATCCCCTTAAATCCAACCAGTAACATCCAGTTGTCTTGGGTTAATCGCCAGTAGATTAGTTTATGGTTCTACACCAAAGCTCCAACCAAACAACAATGAAGCATATATACATATACATTAGGAAAATTTAACTTGTATCCTTCAAAAAGTGGGTAATTGTGGAGTTATGCCACAAAATGTTGGAATTACTTGTACATCCCTCTAAAACTAAAAACTACCTGAATAACAACACGAAGGACTCTTTTAAACTCAGATTTCCGCTTCACGATAAAGTAAAATGCATAGGCACATTTAGTTCTTCGATACTCGAGACACAACACTAATATCAAAGCATCCAATTAATTGGTACAATATTTGTGGGACTAAAATATTATTAGGAGTTACAAGCAAGATTGGCTATACATGACTTAAATAACCTATAAAAGAGAATAATAAATAAATACGCCTAATTATCCCCCAAAACAGTCAAAACATCATGGAGTTGGATTTCAGGTAGTGTCGTCCTGGAAAGAGAGAAAATCAATCGGTCCATATCGATTCAAAGAAAGAAGCCAAGCCATAAGATATTAGCTTGTGATTAGTACTTCCGTAACTTTATCTCACAAAAATAAAAAATAAAGACTCTCAAGGCAGTTCAAGAAAAAAGAAGAAAAGTAATAAACATGAAGCTTATGAATACTGAATAGTACCATACAGGTTTTATTGTTAGAAAAAAAAAAGCCAAGACATAAAAGATCCAAATCAGAAGAGGTTGACTTATGCATAAAGAAGCAAATACAATTTTTTCTAATGACAAAGACAAACTATAAAAAATCAACTCGTTGATGAGGAGGCAATTTATGGATCCAAGTCATAGGAGATTGACTTATGCATAAAAAGCTAAGATATCAAGTCGAGACATAAGAGGTTGATTTATGAGGAAGATGAACCATAAGAGCTTTCTCAAGAGGAAGCTAAGCATAAGTAACTGGCATATGAATACGTGAGAAGCCAAGACACTTTTAGTGGAGAAGAAGCCAAGAAACTTTTAGTATAGAAGAAGCCAAGACATAACACAACAGCTCATGAATAAAAAGCAAAGTCATCAAGCAATAAGAAATTGGCTTTATAATACTATCATGGTTGAGGGGAAAAAATCTAATGATTCTTTTTTAGTAAGAGGCTCAGGCATGAGAACCCAAACAATGAGAGGCTGGCTTAGGAATAAAAGCTATTGCCAACAAGCCAAGTCATGAGAGATTGGACAATAAATAGTGCACTTGATTCTTTTTAAGTAGTATGTATAATTTTACTTATACCTGAAAAAGAAAGTACTGACAGTGGTCATTGGAAAGTGCTTGTGACGATTTGATAATCTGATGCAGATCAGTATCCATAAGTTCATAAACAAGGTACACATCCCTAAATGTCCTCCTTTGGGCTGGCATCATAACATCCTTCAAAGCAACAACATTTTCATGTCGAATGTGCCGAAGAAGCTTCAGTTCACGCAAAGTTCTAAGCGCATCCACACGGTTACCAAAGACATTGTGAATTTTTTTTATAGCAACCTTTTCATTTGTCTCATGGTTGATTGATGAGCAGACAATCCCATATGCTCCTCTCCCAATGGGCTTGATGGGAACATACTTTGTGTCGATCTCAAACAAGGTTTGCCACATTGAGAAGTAGTGTTTTCCTTGATTTCCCACACCATTGGGAGGATCAACCAGCATAGCCATTTCCTATAAAGAAAAACAACAAACGAAACTGCAACATAAAGTTCAGCATTCGGAAAGTTTCTAAATTTACTAGAAGAAGATTAAGAAAGCAAATCTGATAGAAAACAAAAGCAAGGAAGGCCTTTTTTTTTTTTACATCAAGATCGTACATTTCCCAAAATAACAAGTTTAAGAAAACCTAGATGGGAGTTATCTAATAGAGCAAACTTTTGAATTGAATAGGACATCAGAGAATATGGCTTTCAAGGCAGCATCATCATTAAAGACCAATACAATTGTAACATTACTAGTTCAATGACCTTTCAAAGAATCTTCATTGATACCATAACATCCTGAAAATGAAACATATAGTTCAACAGGCTCACAAAACTTGAGACCGAAATGACAGAAGCCAAAGTAGGAAAAATGCAGGAAAAAACCAAGAATCAAAGACCCAAAATTCAGAATCGAATGATCAGGATTATATAATGAGATCTATCAGAAGCAGATACAACGGTTACCTCAGTCAAGGAAACTATTTCCGTGAACCTATAGATGATTGCAGAGAATTAACCAACTATTACACAAGGCTTCCACGCTTTCAGCACCAAAGATCTCAACTTTCCGGCTTTCCAACGTTCACTACCCAAGAACAGAGCTCTAAAACCCCAAATATCCCAAAAACCCAATCCGCAACATGCAGATCGATGCAATCCATCGGACGTACGACTCCAAAATCTCCATTTCTCCTGCCAATTTCGTCCAGCTCGCGAGACCCATGTCTCGGATCACAGCCTACACTGCTCCCATCTCCCAACCCGGATCGGACCGACCTCCTCACCGTTCCTACATCCAACCCACGAGAATCCCATGCCCTAAACTCCCAAATCGTCGGGCCTCAGATTAAGAGAAAGGAGCGAGGGCGACTCGGGGTTCCGAACGGGCCCATCGTGTCCCGCCTTGCTTACGTTAAACCGGCGGTATACGTTACCAGGAGCGGACCGTCGGTCTAGATTTGCAGTCGTTTTTGCAGCGTCTCATCTTTACCGTCCGATCTTGGGAGTCCGAGCACAACGAAGGACCATGATCTTGACACGCTGTCATAACAACGACCCTTGTTTGTTTGCCACGTGCTCGTGTGAGGGGATGGAAGGGGTTAGCTGCATCGAATGGTGGATGGGGTTGGGGTCTACAGATCTGACGGCTAGGAAATTTTTATTATTGAGCTCATATAAGGTAGTATTTTTGACTAAATAAATTTTTTTTTTTTTATAAATCTTATTAAATCATTCAAGAGAAGCCATTTTTCCTTCACCGATCAATCCATATAATTAGATCACAGTCTTGGCTGAAAAGATGACGCCTTGGTGGACAAGTGGCACAGGGGAACAGGGAGTAGGTGCCCAGCTCGAACATGCGGCCGGTGGGCCAGGAGGCGGGGATTCCTCGGACGACAGAGCAGGTGCATGATCCTCGAGGGTGAAGAAGAAGGCTTCGAGCTCATTGAGGTCGACGTTTTCGAGCGGGAGCCCCATGTCGCAGAGGAGGCATGCAGGTGCGCATGCATGCCGACGTGCTCCTCCACGAGAGACTCGAGCGAAACCGGTGGTCGGCGAAGACCTTGCAAACCTCGAGAAAGAATAGTGTCGGACTCCCGACGTCTGCCACCGCCGGCGGAGGGTTCCCGTGTGATGAGATGGGCGTGTGTAGAAACTCCCCCATCTTGCAGCGATTTGAACTGATGAAGAGAGAGTACTAAATATGTTTTGAAGCCATCTTTAGAAAATGTTTTATTTTTTTGGGTGTGTCAACTACAGATGGTGCAGTTCATTAATCCTGATTTGAAGCTGTTTTATGCGAAATTAATCACTCTATATAAGTATTATTAATTCCTTAATGAACAGTTTGGTCATCCAAGAAGCAGTTTCTTGAGATGACATTTAGCAGATGTATTATTGCATGGTTAATACAATTTGGTCAGCTAAATAGTGCCTAAATCTAATCAAAATTTGCTGTTAACTGATGCCGCTGTCTTGAACTAAAAAAAAAGCACTTCAAAAATGGAAAAAAGAAATAGCTCAGATGTCACAAATGAGAAGTAAAGAAATTCACAGCAAGCAAACTATGTATTAATAGGTTGGAGTGATTAATATAAAACAACCATAGTTGCTCTCATCACAGCTTTATTTAGAACTTTATTTTTGGAGAATCACAACCTCCAAATCAACATTGCATCAAAAATTTAAATCAGCCTACTACTGAGCTTAGGAGGAATCAAACGGACCAGTCAATCAAATCAAATTAATTGAAAGCCTTATAACATCTTTTTTCTGAGTGCTACAAGCGGTTTAGATCATAATAGAAATGCTGATTTCCAGCAATAATGTGAACAGAATACAGTTGAAAAAATAAGTGGGTGAATACAGTTGAAAAATCAGATTCTGGGCTGGCTGACTCAGCCCTGTAAGAGATAATAGCAGGGTGGTTGTCATCAACACTGTGCTCTGATCCGATCTGAACTTTGAGTTAAGGGGCTTGTGCGGCACATGTCGACAGCATTCTCGCAATTCTCCAAAGAAGATTTTTCAAGAATGTAACTGGGTGAATTTGTGGGACAAACCATCAACCGCCCGATCCATTGTTTCAGTAGCTGATTCCTCCTGAAAATGTAGATTCATTATGCAAATAATTTCTTATAATAGCAGTAAACCACATGCTAATCTCATTACTCCTGAATAAGCCTTCTCTTTCGGTGCACATGTCAACATGAATCTAGCTTCCTAGTGAATGCAGTTAATGTTGAATCAGCTTTCTTGCCCAAAAAAAAAAAATGTTGAATCAGCTTTCTCTGAGAAATTTAGCTTCCAGCTCACATGTCAACACTAATTTTCCTAGCATCTTTATGAAATTTAAAAGCTCTAAACTCTAAGATGAACATAATGATGCTGTTGGAAGTAAACAAGACAATCAAATTTAAATAGCCACCTCTCCAGTATGCAGTCTGGTGACATATATAATGGTATGTAGTTTTAGGGATGTGATCCACGGAACTACACAATACAAGATAAGTCGTCAAAACATGAAAAGAGCCTAATATTGTTAAGAAATGAACACTAAGCTACTCGAGTACATTTAAGGATGCCAGACTCCTTCGAGTGTCATGACTGCCTGATCCGATGGAGGAGGTGGGCTTAGAGAAAGCCCAGTCTTCCAACCAATCCATGTATTTTCATTTTCACGGTAACAATGTAGACCGTCAAAAAATTCCCTCATGATGCAAACCCTTTGCCATCATCTCTCTCTATTTGTTCCAACCCATCAGATAATATCATTTAAGAGGTTAGGGAGCAGAAGAGACCTTTTGTGAACCTCAGATAAAGTAAAATATTTGGATCACATATCTAATTAATGAGCAGGAGAAAAAAAAAAGGCATTTCTATTCCTGCACTGACTAGGAAAAGTTGTTTGGTTAGACCTGTTTGGAACAGTAGAATCCCTAATGAAACTAAAACCACATTCATTTAATAAACGTTATCTAAAGACTTCTACTAATTCTGCCAATAAGTAGATGCAGTAATAAATGTCATTGTGCACTTACTTCTTGATCCTTCTTCTGCTTGACAACAACACACTTGGAAGCACTGATGCTTTCACTCTTCAACAAGCTACGTGCACTGTATTTTGACTTGCTTAGTCCATCAGTGACCGATGCATGATCTGGCCCCTCACCTTGCTGTGACCTAGTAGGGCTTTCAAGGGCACTGCGAACAAGAGATTCAACACTACGCCCTTCAAATTCATTCTGTTGGTCAGGATTGCTATCTTTATTTGCACCAATCCTCTCCCTAGAAAAATGAAAAAGCATGCATAAAAAACATGCAAAAAAGTCAAAATTTACATGTCACCATATTATTATACTTCAAAGAAATTCAGAGGAAGAGCCAATAGAATGATTTTCTTAACCTGGTTACCTTGGCAAAGAAGCATGTTGCCGTAGGAGTGGAGTGCTTCGCTCACCTTTACTAGAGTGCTCTTCCAGATGAGCAAATTGGCGCTTGAAGCGGTCAACTCCACTGATAGAAAAGTAATTGGTTTAGGTAAATTCAATATGATCCAAAACATCTCCATCATTATTAGTTACGACATGAGTATTCTCAAGGAAAAAATGTTTTATCTGAAAACAGTGAAACATACTTACATGACTACAGTCACTTAAAACTCAATGTTATATAAGACAGGCAGATTTTAAGATTGAATATATCTTAACTGCTTCGGCCAAATTAAAATATGTAAAAGGCGAAATAAAAAAAGAAACCACAACAATTTGGACACCATGGCACAAACAACTGTTGATAAGGCATGCAAACACACATTTGGATGTGCATCTGTCACTTGGAACTCGATGTTATATAAGAAGGCAAGTTCAAAATTGAAATATATCTTAACTGCTTTGGCCAATGTAAAATATGTGTAAGGTGAAATCAAAAAAGAAACCACAGATTCTTGCCTCTCCTATCACAATGCTAACTAGTGCAGTAGCAGCCTTGTGTGCATGTCCAAGTGTCAGATCCTTGTTCCAAGAAATCTAATAATGGATGCACAAAAAGCATACCTACAATGAAACCATCTGAACGTAGAACATATTGAGTAGAGAAGCATTGTCATTAAATAATGTTTTATTTTCATGGAACAACAAAATTACTTTGAGCATCATAATGATCATTAGATATATTCAGCATATGCGATTCGTAAAATTTTAGATTCATAATAACTAACCTAGGATACATAAAGCTAGCTTGATCTCCACCACGTAAATACTCCTGCAGCATCTGAGGATGATACTCCAAGATCTGTTTGATGTAAAAACAATTCACTGTTAGTGGAACAATAATTCATGTCACTAACAGAGCTACATTTTTGCAGTTGTACCTCTCGATAAATTAACTCTCGAACATCATCTTTTGTCAATTTCCTCCTTTCAAACTCAAACTCAAGTTTTGAGATAGGTTGTGTTGAAGGTTCACGGTCAACATTTGCCAAACCTCGAAAATAAGGATCACTTAGTGTCTGAATAGATTAAAACAAAGAAGAATCAGAATACTTCTATAAAGTTCCATTCAAACCATAAGAACAATTGTGAACTTATTTGGAAATAGGTCATCAAGGTTACTGAATCCTATCTCTTCAGCAGTAGGCCGATCTTTAGGATCAAATGCAAGTAGGCGCTCAAGTAGACGGAGAGCCAAAGGATCTACACCAGGAAACTTCTGAGTGAACGGGATGGGTGGTTTCTTCCGCATATTACTTAAATATCTTCTAGCCTTCTCATTTCGGATCTGCATTGTTAAACAACAATAACAATTAGAGATCCAAAAAGCAGATCTATATCTTTCCCCACAGAATGAGAATGTGTACATAGAATTCTGGGCAAGAGCAACCCTTATATATGAAAGGCTTTAAGTTTTAAAATGCTAAGTTCATTTGGGACGATTAAAAACGGATGGCCAAGTGTACAAGGATCCCGTCAATGCTGGATTATATAGGGTCAATGCAATGTAATAAATTTCAATACTCGTAAAAAGTAATAGCATATTTTGTCTTGGTCCTTATTTGCTATCGTTCTAAAATTCTGTTGGGAATTAAAATTTGAAAGCAGACCACTATAAATTAAATAACTAATAACAATTTGCTTTGGCTTAAAGCCTTAAAAAAATATGTTCATATCCATATAATCATCATAACTGTTTACCTTATATCAGATCATTTCAGCCTCATAATTGATTAGCTGACTCCTAGCTAATCATTAAACAGGCTTGTTCATAACAATTTCCTCTGGCTTATAGCCTTACAAAGATATGTTCATATCCATGCAATCATCATAACTGCTTACCTTATATGAGATCATTTCAGCCTAATGAATTATTAGCTCACTCCTAGCTAAGCAGCAAACAGGCTTGTTAATTGTAGCAGGCTTGTTAATATTCAACTTCCACATGCCTCTATGACGTATACTATAAGCATTTCAAAATATATTTGATCTACATCTTAGATTTAACTTACCTGGATCTTCATCTCATATATACCTGGAACAAATATATCACAACCAGCAAACAAAGTTTATGTACCCCCCACCTGAAAATTTACTAGACACATCCTTTGTTCACATAATTATTTTTAACACAAAGAAGATGGAGCTCCTCTTATCTTTCAAATTGATATTTGTTCCTCTAAAAGGATCAACTAGACTAATAGGTGGTTCCATAAATATTTGGAATGTTTAAGGACCAAGAATAACCTCATAATTAGTATAATCCATGTATTCACATACAAGAACATGTTTTGAGATAGAATCACATTAACATATAAAGTTAGTGGTGAAAATATCAAGCTGATGATAACCAATTTGGTCTAAGAAGATAACAAAAAGAATATATTAAATATGATTTTAAAAGCATATAACAAATTCCTTCTTCAGAATTAAGGTAAATGAGATAACCTTGTCATGCGTAGCAATACTCCTTGAATACCATAAGAACTTTAAATTATCATCTTTATTTTAAATATGGAGTACATCCCATTAGGTAATTCTATCAATAGAAGACTTCCGAATCAATTTACAGAAGTAAATGCATCTCTTTGGGATCACCAAGATCATTCAATGGCTAAAATGTGCTGAACATGTGTCTAAAAAAGTTCAGATTGGCAGGGACTCTAGCATCTGACCTATTTGTAATACAACTAGATAGTTCACAGCAATGTCATGCCTAGGCAGTGAATTAGGGAATCATGTAGCTGGTTTATGGAATCCAAGTTCATGAAAGACACTTTGAGCTTAGACTATTAACATGCGGTAGACTAGACGTCAGGCAGAATCACTATCTTCAGAAGCTTACTTATTAAGATATCCGTATGCTTCATTAGAAAGAAAAAAATATGATAAGACTGTATGAACTCTTTATCAACATATTCAATAAAAATGAAAGGGCACGATAGTATATAATAAGAAGCTCTGTAATGCAATAAAGTAGTTCACAACATATATACGCACCACATTTCCATGTACATTACTTTCATTGACAATATATAAATGCTGAGAATAAAACATTTTTCTTATTTAGTCTCTATTAGATGAATGAGTTATTTTGCAAGCCAATTTGTTAACAAACTATTTTCTTATATACTTTAAATTTTCTACCAAAGGTATGGGATCCTTAAAGAAAAGGAAACTGATGGAGAAGAATAATGTAGAATATGGTAACAATAAAAGCAAGGATTGTAGGTTTTCCAGGAAATCTAGTTGATGCCTGATAACACCAAGATAAAGAAAGGACAAACCCTCGCAATAGATTCAGCTGAAGGTGTGCCGAACAAATCAGTCATGAGATCCAACTGATGCACGACATTCTTTCCTGGAAATATAGGTTTCCCTGTTAGCATTTCTGCAAATATGCATCCTATGCTCCAAATATCAATCGCGGGTGTGTACTGCAGATATTAAAAATTGTAGATCATAATCAGTAATGAGAAAGTATAATTCATTTGGATAATCATAAAAGTAACACTTTGTAGTGGTGAAATGTTTTTTACAAACCAAGAAGGTGATGTTGCAGGAATCAAAAGGTTACTTACCGACAAGCTGAGTTCAATTTCAGCTAAGAAACAAGGTGAAAATCCCTTCATACTAAACCTAAAATATAATATAACTAAACACCAACCTTATATTTGTGGATTGAAGTACAAGAAGCACATTATGAACACTGTACTAGCAATGTCCAGCTTCACTAGTAAGTATATCCACTAAATTATTTTGCTTAGATAGGTCCATCTTGTGGTGGATGTCACAGCATTCTTTGTTCTACCAAGGTCATCTAATCCATTGTCACAAATTACAAGGTCTTGATGACTCAGCTCTGAACGGGATGATATTTTCTAAAATCTAAATAATAAAGCATATATACTTAAGTTCCATCAAAGGTTTTCAGATGACAAAGGCATGCTTTAGTAAAAGAAAACTTCAAGGCCAACGGCAAAAGGATATGTAGAAGAAACCTAGCAATTGTTCGGATGACATCTAAAGAGGCTTTAGCATAAAGTGGAAATAACCATGGAAAGTTAGCTCAAACAAAAATTTCAGATTAATAAGTGATAAATTTTAATCTCAGCTTTATGATTGATGGCCGATCTGGATAGTTTTCATTTCAATTCTTCGACTAAACGAGGTAGCCGGAGGGTTAATAGACCTCATAAACTTGGTTGCACTTTAGCAAGAGGGTTTAAAAAGTATAACTGCTTATATAATAAAGTTAACATAAATTGCTGAAAGACTGAAACTTTTGCAGAATGAGAACATATTTTTAATTTTAAGTAGACCAACATTATCAACTTTGCCTTCTTACAATTAATATCAGATTTAGATGACATGGAATAGGATCAATCATATAGCAGTACAAAATTTCGCATCAGAACAACAAAATCTTTTCAGACGCTTCTGGTATTTTCTTGATTTCAAAGTGGCATTGGCTTTACACATTATAAAGTCACTTTTTCCTTGGCGGGCCTTCACATTTAGTGGTCCTCAGATGTTAAAGTGAATCAACTTGACGCATCAGTTGTCTACAAAACATGTCTGATTGAGGACAGTCATTTCGCATCTTTAAGCTTTCAGTGACTAACTCTGGAAGCTACACATTATGCATCATAGGTTCGATGAAAAGAATAATATAACATAGATTTCAGATATGAGATCAGAAATAGCAAAACATCATACTTTAGAGAAAAATGAGCCACATAATTCAGGAGCACGATACCACCTTGTTGCTACATAGTCCTAAGGAAAAGAAAGAAACAAAATTATCAGCATAACAAGAGTGATTAAACAACATTGCCGCCCTGACAGTTTTGGATTAGAAAAAAAAATTGTACATACAGTCCAAAATATAGCAGATGGAGCATCATTGAAAGCTACTCGGGCAAGGCCAAAATCACATATTTTCAGCTTGCAATCTGCATTGGCAAGGATGTTTTTTGGCTTCAGATCTCGATGAAAAACATTTGCTGCATATTAAGAAAAAAGAAGAAAGAAGATAAGAATGATGTTTGAACTATAACCCAAATGTAGGGTGACAATAAATGAAATCAGCAATGGTTTTAACCTGCATGGATATACTTAAGAGCTCGAAGAAGTTGGTATAAGAAGAACTGATGATGTTCAGGTGTGAGATCATCATTTGCCTTTATAACCTGATGAAGGTCTGACTCCATCAACTCGAAAACGACATAAATATCTTTGAATTCCCTTCGAGATGGAGGGAGCATTATATGTTTGATTTCTACAATGTCAGGGTGGCGGAGCAGCCTCAGCAGCTTGATCTCTCTTAAAATGCGAGTGGCATCAGAAATATGTTCAAAGACATCGTTGATCTTCTTTATTGCCACCTTCTCTCCAGTATGGGTGTCGATTGCAGCCCCGACTACCCCATAGCTTCCTTTGCCAATGACCTCTTGTATATGGTAACGGCTTGCTTCACCATACTCCGTAAAGAATTCATTCTCTAGCATGCTCTAAATGAATCGTATGGATTGAAAGGCTAAACTTGATAAGAGAAATTGAATGAAGAGAGATAAAAGGCATAACTAGAATAATTGCAAAAGAAGATTGTAAAAGAAAAGGGCAGTTTAGTTGTGAACTGCCAATAAGTTAATATAAAACAATTTACAGGTTAATTGAATAAAAAACGAAGAAAGAATATAAAACAAAATCAATCTTTGCAAGGCATTTGGCAGATGTCAAACAATTACAGGTTAATTGAATCGTAATAGAAAACACATAAGATATTCGTGAATACAGTAATCTGGAAAGAGAAAGAGAGCCCAAAAATGTTCAATCCATCCCACCTATAATATCTTCACAAACAGGTCAAGAACTACATTCTTGAAAGAAACATGTTCAGCTGTAACAGAGGAAAATATTCTTGAACGAGAGAACCTAAAGCAATAGAAAACTAAATAAAATTCAATCCAAACTTCTTCATGTTCTTAATAACGGAAAAAGGGAAGATCTGCATTCAAAAAAGTGCATTGAAAAACAAGGAGTTGGATGGCGGTATACTGAAGAACAGAAGCAATTACTTAAGAAAAAATAACGAATTTGTTATCGATTATATGGAAGAAGATTTAAACTTTACAGCTAAATTAGAAAGGGGGACAAATTAACAGACCTTCCTTTGAGGTTCCATGGCGACTTCTTCTCTCCTCTGGGCAACAACGATGAACCTGAGGCCAAAGAACCCAAACTCCTAGTTACCTACAAACAGCTCCTCCTCCTCGACTATCGGATCGCGTTCTTTCGTTAAAGATGAGAAACTGACGACGCGGCGGAAATGGCGCGTAAACAAGCGACGGAGTCTATCCACGAGGCGCCATCTCCCCATATAAAGGCGACGGTACCGCAGCTGCAGGTACGAGGGAACGTGGGCGGCCAACGCGGCATCGCCGGCTTTACTCTCTCCCGCCCCCGCGGGCGAGCGAAGACGAGAATTCCCACCGCTAGGCCATGAAACTTACAACTACTAACCTCCACTGTGACATATAT